ACATCGAAGTGTTATAAATATGCAGACAGACAAAGAAGCGCGTAAAGGCGGCGAGTAAGTAGAACAGAAACCCAAAAAGGAACGTGAGTCAGTGGCACTGGTAAATAAAAAGTGAATCAGGTAGGAGTACCTAAGAGAGGCGTAATCAGGCCTCCCACGAGAGAATGGTGCCGTGGGGGTCTCTCGGGACCTGGAACAAGGGTGATGGAAGAGGAGTGTGCAAATAGTAAGCAAACAAGTAACGACTGCAAGTGAAGTGGACATGTGCCGATGGCGACATAAGTCAAATATGCAATCGACGCTATTCAGGAAGGTTTCATACAAAAATTAAAAGGAGTCAGGGGTAGTTCGTCAGTGTTATTTACAGTATGTCCAAGATTCCAAACTATAGTGCATAATGATATTAGAAGGTTTACTTTAACTGTTTGCTACAGTAGACATCCGATCTCATGAAACTTTAACAAAAGTTCCAAAATGTCTTCTCGATTTGAAGATATTACTTAATTAACACTATAATAGTAATTATCGTGCAACATAATCCTCAGGCACTTCAGTCACTTCAGGATACCGGCTATTCAACGAGTTTTTTTAATGCATTCCTACAAAAATCCTGTTAAAAATTACTAGTATCGATAACTGTAAAAATTCAAATGCATTTTAGGTGATGAAGTATGTAGTACATGTTATTTCTTGAACGCATTTGATAGCAAATTACTTCTTCAAATATTACCCCTATAGAAAGGGCATCTTTCAATTCCAAAAACTGATTTAATCCAGTGAACCAGAACTGCTGTTACACCCGTATTCGGGGCTTTCAAACTACGAACTGTAAATTTTCCGTGTAAGGAAAATCATACATTTAAATACGCAATTAAGAAGAGGTCATAAAGAGTTCATAAAACTTAAAAGCATATAAAAATGGACTGATGCGATACTTTATGAATAGGCATTACACAGTCACAAAAAGTCATAATCAAAACCTTTCACATGTGAAAATTTTGGTTTACACTTCATGAGACTTTTAGTGTTACTGTGCAGTTGAATAAAGCACCATTTTCGAGCACAAGGCATAAAATACGCGGAAGAGACGCTAAATTTTCTTGAACAGTATATTGACGAAAAGAACTCCACTGGGCTCGGCAAAAGCTAGGATAGATTCTGATGGACCGGACCAGCATGCGAGAGGTAATCCCCATGTGAGCAATGTTCAATAGCATCTGATAGGCATTAACTGACTAATGTGGGTTCACTCAGTACGTAGTCCTGGCAGACACTGAAACCTAGGAAAGCCATCGGCAGGTGCATAGCAGCAAAGGTAAGGCCAAATTAGTAAACAGGAAGTCCTTACCCGGGTCGATTAAAAGCACCAGTATGTAGAGCCTGCTGCTCATTGACGATTGGCAGGTCACGGTTGGCTCCCGAGTGCTCGTGATGACTGCCCGCAGAGGCTGCAGACCCAGAGGTAGTGGTGGACGAACTTTGGGCAGCACC